CGCGGTAGCCAATCAGAATCGAGAATGAAAATCCTATGTACTAGACAATGAGTACACGACGATAGTACCGTGAAAGAGGCGGATTTGTAGTACGTATTCCATATATGGCACAACCTAACAAGCGAATAGAAGCACCTGAGTAATCACAAAATGGCGGTAAAACTGCATGGGCTGCATGGGCTGCATGGGCTGCGTATTACGGTGAAACATTTGGTTGCATATAGCTATTAGATGCATGGGCTCACACTCGGATTAACTAAACAATGGTAAGCTTTTTTCTTTGCTGTGAACTATTATTATAATTTAAGCTTATATGAGCCTGATATATTTTCCTGAGGTTCCTGCATTAGGTCTATACCTACGAATGCTGTGTGCCGAAGCTTATCTAGTAACTTATAATTACTGATATTATCAAGTTTCTAGCTTACTTGTTTATCATAGGAGCAATGCCAATAATGAAAGTTTAAACGAACTTCGAACTAGAGTTTTGTAAAGTCGTGTATTTATTTAGAGTCCTCTATCTAATAACTTACCTTTACCGGCCTTTACCATAATGGCCGCCAACTATTAGTTTGAGACTATTTAATCACAAGTTTTGGGCCCGTTTAACGCCCCGCTTTCGCTTTACTTCTGGTCACAAAAAGTTTATAGAATAGTAATTTTCCGCTTCTTTGCATGCTCTATTTGCCATTTAGGCGCGGTATCAACAGAATATCGTTTATCCGATAGTTACGTCGATATTTTCCTCGTATCTAATTTCGTCAACAACAGTCAGTTAACTAGGATTTCTGGATAATTTTCGATAATATCGATAGTGTTATAATATCACATAAATATCGGATATCAAAAAATACATTCAGTTAACTAGGTTTTTTGGATAATTTTTGATAATATCGATAGTGCTATAATATCAGATAAATATCAAGGGGTTCAGATAGTAAGAGAGGACTGATCTAGTGACTTTCTAATAGATGTAATTATTGATATTACCCGATAATAT